GCTCACCCCCCCCCCCGCCGGGCCGCCCCCGCCGCTCGCCCTGGGGATGGAGCGGGGGGGGGGACGGGGGGACGCGCACCCACCTGTGGCGTCGGGCACGGGCGTGCATGGGGGCAGCCCCGGAGAACACATCGCATTCCAAATGTTCAGCTTGTGCATCGGAAACGTATGAGTTTGTGGAAAGCTTGTTTGAAGTCTTCGTTAGACATAGTATAGATGACGGGGTTGATGAGGGAGTTGAGATATCCAAGCCACGTGAAAAAGTCAAAGATGGCCATGTGGAACCAGCAAGCGTCCTTGCAAATAGGCAGGGGCAGCCCCGGAGAACACATCGCATTCCAAATGTTCAGCTTGTGCATCGGAAACGTATGAGTTTGTGGAAAGCTTGTTTGAAGTCTTCGTTAGACATAGTATAGATGACGGGGTTGATGAGGGAGTTGAGATATCCAAGCCACGTGAAAAAGTCAAAGATGGCCATGTGGAACCAGCAAGCGTCCTTGCAAATAGGCAACACCAGGCTGATGATGAAAAAGGGCAGCCAACAGACGATGAAGGCTCCTAGAATAATCCCTAAAGTCTTTGTAGCTTTCCGCTCTCTAGCGGCCGTGAGCTTCTTTTTTTCCAGCAGGGCATCCGAGACCTTCACCTTCACCTGGTTCATGTACACGGGAGAGCTCGTTTCGCTGGATCCCTCGGGCGCCTTGGAGTTTATGGACGTGACGGAGGAGGACGACCCCGGGGAGTCCGTGATTAGCTGAGCCCGCGTGAGCCTTTTACCTGCTTTCTTTGGCGTCTGCTTCAAAATCCGCGATCTGGCTTCCACGTAGATCCTCCCGTAGAGGGCTATCAGCAGCAGAGTGGGGAAGTAGAAGGCTCCCACCGTGGAGTACACGGTGTAGAGGACGTGGTCCGTGTTCACCACACAGTTAGAGACTTTCTCGGCCTTCGCCTGCCGCCAAAACAAAGGGGGCATGGAGATGCAGATGGAGAAGACCCACACTAGGGCAATCATGCCCGCTGCCCGCTTGGGAGTCCTTTTCGTGGAGTACTCGACGGCGTCGGTGATCGCCCAGTAGCGGTCCAGGGCGATGACACAGAGGTGCAGGATGGACGCCGTGCAACAGGTGATGTCCGAGGACAGCCAGATATCGCAGACGACCTGGCCCAGAGTCCACTTGCCTGTCACAGTGTACATGGTGCTGATGGGCATGACGAGGATGGAGACGAGGAGGTCGGTGACGGCCAGCGAGGCGATGAGATAGTTGGCCGGCGTGTGGAGTTTCCTCGTCTGGTAGACTGTGGCGATGACAAAAGCGTTGGAGAGCACCGTGGCCAGGGTGACGAGCGCCAGGACGACGGTGAGCACGATCTTCCAGGACAGGGGGGTGGCATCTTGGTAGATTCCTTCCTCGGCGCTGCAGTTTCGGCCGTGGTAAGAGTCGTTAGCGGGGAGCAGCAGCGCCTGGCAGGGGCCGGGCGGCTCCATCCCTCC